TTAATTAAACAATGCCAGCAACACCTAAAAGCCTTGGGTGATGCTGAGTAAAATTTAGGAAATTATCTGTATAAAGGATTGACATAAAAAAATCTGAAATGCAAATTAATTTTTGCAAAATCTTCCTTCTCCAAAGAAGCACTTTCCTCTGATCTCTCTTACACCTTTTCACGTTCACCACCTTCCCCCGTCTCAGGGTGACCAAGAACTGTGGTTCCGATGTTGAGGGACAGTGCCATTCTGAGCTGGTAGCCTCTACTCAAGGCTGGAGGGGAATCACTGGCTTCTTTTCCATCTGCCATTGTTTCCCTGTTGACAGGTTCTTTGCAAGCTAGCAAGGTGGTCACACTATGCTGCTCCTGAGGGTGACGCAAGTTCCAGCCGTAGGCTCCATCCCCCTCCCCACCGAGCTCAGCTTCTCTGGCAAGTTCCAGTGCTGTGGTAGCAGCCTTCCCCTGGGGGATGGCCTCCCTCCAGCCGGAGCTGCAGCAATTTAGAGAAAGACCTTCCTGAAAACCTGAAGGCCAGATGGAGAGCCCAACCGTGACCTTTGCGCCCTCATAGGCTCTTAGAAAAATTTTATAAAATTTCTCACTGGTAGGAAAGCTGTTGTGTTACCCAACCTGGCTAAGTAGCCACATTACCACAGGGCATTTCGGGATCTGCTAAGCATTTATGATGAGAGAAGAAGTGGCCATAACTTTGTTTTGCAAATGCTTCTTGTGAGCTATGCAAGGAGGAATGGTGGGAAAGCATGCCATCCTGTCAGTAACCAGGCAGTTAGAACAGACTTCCAGGCCCATGGCTTACACCCAAAACAAAACCAGACAGACTGACCCAGAAGGAGGTTGCCTCCCTTGGTTCAGCTGATGGCCCCACCCTCAGAAATCAACCCCCTAGGAGCAGTTTGCTTTTGGCGCCTTGTCACTCCTCTCCTCGAGCTCTGGGTCCTGGGGGGCAGAACTGCTCTCGGTGACGTGGTCATGGTTGAAAATATTTTCACTGAGCCAAGAACTTGAAGTAAGCCCAGGGAGGATGTTACGGGAACTAACTTGGCCTACTGGGAAGAGCACTGGGCTGCTCAATATTTGTCAGGAGATTTCTGGAGGTTGTTCTAATTTCTAACATTGAAATGCTGTGAGAAGGTCTTCTAAAACCCAAAGTGTCCGAGTCACCCTTTAA